CCCCCCCCCGCAAAATGTTCAGAGGGCCCCCCCATTATCTACATGCCCCCACGTCATTTCTTTCAAAATCCATGTCATTTTGTGTAAGAAGTGAATTTAGACTTTTGGAACTAGAATATAAAACAATTATTCCTGTCTAATTATGTTGGCTCTGTTTGGTTTCAGGGTTCTGATAGAGAAGAAGCTAGACCTCGGAGAAGATGGACCGACGGCGGCCGAGAGCACTCTGTGAGTATCACGCTCTCTTGAATTCTTTAATGCGTTAAAGTGAACAGATTGGAAAATATTAATTTGTTTTCAAAATGATTTATATGACGTTTTATATTTCTGCATATAATACCAGTTACATATTTCCACGCGTAGGGGTGACTATAGACGGGGTTTGGTTTGGTGAATGGATTTATTTACCATTTAAACACACGACCCGGAACTACAAACAATTACAGCACAACCGCTAAATTCCACAATTCACAGATCACCACAGTACCCGCTGAATTATTTTCCAGCCTGCTGTCTCTTCATCAGCCGTTCCCTGACAACGGCTTCTAACAGTGGAGATTCTTCAGCTTCATGCGCTTAGGTTCTATTTTCACAGCCTCCATTGCAGAACTGTATAACAACTGACTTTGTCCCTAGTGTAGTAGTATCCCAGCGCGGACCACATAGAAACAATCCGTTTCCAAGAGTAACTCTTTTGTTGTTTGTGTATTCGTTGCCGGGGGAACATGTTTACCGAGCCGTTGTCCAGAAACGGTCGCTTACGTAGTCACTTCGGAACAACGGGTCTATACGCCACAATATTGTGATTATGATGCTGGGTTGTGTCCGTATAGTTGGGTATCAACGTTTCGCTTTCACATACTGCCTCTAACTTCAAGCTAAACCGGAGGAAATGTGTTCCTCCAAAATGTTGGTACCTCTGTATGAGACTATACGTGATGTCATAAATTCATAGAAGATGTCGATATGAGTTGAGGATGGGGTTTAACGTGTGGAAATTTTGGACAAATTTTATCTAGGAGAAATATTTCACTTAGATCTTCCTGTACTCTTATGAATGAGAAATGCTTCTGAAAACTATACGTTACCAGACTTCTATTCACAGTGTTCTGGGAAGTCCCTTCTCTTGGCCTTGAGTGGGAGACAAGCCTATCGAAACAGCGACAATAATTATGTCTTAATTAAACTTAATATATCCTGCAATTTCCCACAAGGACATATGACATATATTTTTATGTACTTTATTAAACTCTATTTATTTAATTAATTGTATTACTATATTAATCTTTCGAAAAAAGAATAACGTTTTCCATGGATGTGATATGTTTCACGGTTAACATGGTACAGAGTGTATCTTGGAGATAACAAATATAACAAAACCATAACGACTCCTCCCCTTAACCAATCATGGTCGTAGCACGTGCTTATTGGCCCACCAATGGATTCACTTGCTAACTTGGACGTAAATAGGAAAATTATCCAATGGCATCTAACAGCACGTATCGGTGTCTCAGCGTAACAGCGGACTAAGTACATCATCAGCAGTAACTAAGCGAATCAGTTCATAGCCCTGGTCTTGAGACTGTGGGTCCCAAATCAGATTCGGAATTCCATAAAAACACAGAGGCCCCTTAATTTGTCATTGACCCTTGTAGATATCCACCTAGCTGGTTGAAGTGGCGTTAGCACTCTAGACCCGCATTCTCGGGTTCGACACCGGCTGAGGTATTGTGTGATTTTCCTCAATCCATAAAGGAAAATTTCAGGATAGTACCTCGTTTAGTATACGATCGCTTCCTTTCATATCCCTTCTAGTTCATTCATCAGTCAACCTACGATCTGACGCTATGTAGTCTATATACTGACAGCGTCGTAAGAAACCGGTACATATACTATACTAGTATTACTACTACTGCTACTACTACTACTACTACTACTACTAATAATAATAATAATAATAATATAAATCCCCCGTATTAATTCGTTAAAGACGTCTATAATCTTGGCATTAATGCCGTTACAAATTCAGGTATCATTATGTTTTGCAGTTAGCCTCTGCATCCTTCAGCTCCTGTTCTTACTGTTTCACTGCTTTTCCTTGTATTTTACACATAGCTCTTCCGTCTCATCGGCTTCCGTTTTCACCTTATTTTCTGACGTTACGTTCAGTTTCTCCTTCCTCTTGTACCTTGCTTCTCTTTATACAAACAAAAACTCCTTGGCCTGTAGTCCGCAAGCCAACTATACCAACTGAGCGACCGCCGCTTGTCGGCGAAGTTAGTGCCAACTTTAGCGGATAGAGGGTGCCGTGTGGTCAGCGCAATGGATCCCCACGGCCGTTAGTCTCTGTTTTCTTGACCGCTTGTTTCTCTTTACTATATTTATATTGCTTTTAGGGTCTTTGTGCCGTGTAGATGTGAGACATTTCCTACGTTTCGGATACTGCCTCCACTTTCAGGTTCGGAGTACGATGAACCAGCGCTAATTTTGAAATTCCTTACTCGACGACGTACTCAGTTTCGAAACTGCATGGTGTCAAGTGTTCATTTACGTACACACACACACACAGTACATACTACAGCGTGCATACTAAAGCGTGTACTTTATCTTCGATTTAAGGGATTTTCAAGGATACTTCTGACTGTAAGGGATTTTTGGTTTAGACGCCGCTTTTACAAAGTAACCCCTGCGAAAGAAGCTGCTTCACTGTCCAGGTTAAGAGTGTCGATCTAATGCCGAAAATGAGTACCTCTATGTCATTATTAAAATGCTTATCCCTTCCATCTTGCTTTTCCAGAATTTCCCATGTTCATAGTGTAGGCCCTATACTATGTGAGGCTAGACCGGTGGAAGGTGTACGCGTGCCTGCGAAAACCCACAGCTACAGATTCAGATTTTCACCTTGAATTTTGAGGAGGTTTTTCACTAATAACAGAACAAATTGTGGGGAGAACTAGTAGCCTACTTACCTTTGATACGACACGTAACGCATAAAAGACTACGCGTCCAACCATTCTTCTACTGTTGCGTGTGTATTCGTTGCCGCGGTAACGTTCTTACCGAGCCGTTGCCTAGCAGCGACAAGGGATACACATACAGACACAAGGACTGATGGGAGGGATTTATGAAGTTCAGATGGGCTTAGGTACCGTGATAAACATACCGAATTTCATAAAGATTGGTTCAGCAGTTCGAAAGTTGAATGTGGGGGGGATTCACAGAGACACAGACAGCATGGTGATACTATAAGCCTTCTTTTATTTTTCCAAAATAAGGGAAGTAGGCTGATAAAATATATGTATCATTCATGTAAGCAGTACTTTCATGTGGTTAAATGTTCGGAACTCTAATAAAGGCAGGTTAGTTCCCTTATGTCAGTCTTGCCCCGAAGCCACGGATTGTGGTCGGAATCTGTGATGTGTTTTTGTTTCCGTTCCTCCTTGTGGACTCCATGGCTGGCAGGTTTGGGCTTCCTCGTGCGTGGTAAAGACAGTCTTTTTTATTTCTCCTCTTTAATTTGGTGGTTGCTGAAGTTGGCAGCCCGTGAACATCACGTACCCTGGTTCGAGCCTGTGCACATAAGAAACATCCACGTGACAGCTGACACTAACAACCGGTTCGATAATACAGCTCCCTGCAAGTGATAGGAATCTCACGCTTAAAAATGTAATTTTGTTTTTGTGTAGTACGGATCTTAGTGTGTGGGTGTAGAACTTGGTCTGTCACTCTGAAAGAAACACACACATTGTGTTTGGGAACAAAGCGATGATGAGGATATCAGGACGGAAGAGGGAGGGAGGAAGAGGAAGAGGAAGAAGGAGCTTCACAGTTTGGACCTTTGTTTCTCGTATTATCTCAGTTTCTACGTACGAGAGACTTAAGAACTGAGGAATTCTGTCTTCTGGGATATAACGCCGTGTAGCCAGGTGAAATTCAACCAAAGTTTATGCGGTCTGTTCCTCCGAAACGTCGGTTAAATTTCGCCAGATTCCACAGAGCTTTGTGGCCGAAGATGTCCTCATAGCGACCGCAGTGAGAAACTTAAATCCAACATGGCATAAACCCATTCGTTTTTGTTTTAATTTGTTTAGTTCTTCTCTACGTGTCTTTGGATAGAATGCGGGATAGCTCAGTCTGTATAGTGACGAACCAGAGATGGATGAAAGGGTTTGCTTCCCGGCAGGAGCCAAAATCTTTTCTCTACGCCACAGCGTCTGTATCGATCTGGGGCCTAGCCAACCTCGTAATCAATGGATAACGGGGCTCTTGCCTTGCGGATAAAGCGGCCAAGGCGTGAAGCTGACCACTCATCTCCATCTAGAACCGAGATCAAGAATGGTGGAACTATACCTCCACTCCCTCATACGTCTTCATTGCGTGATGCTTAATCAATTAAGCACAGATACAATTTTCTTTTATCCGTGCCGCCAGATGAATTTATCGTATAAACGGTTGTGTACGGCGGTAACAATACTCGTGCGGTGAGCTGTCTGGTTGTGGGGAGTGCTCTCCCAGCAACAACATTTCTGCCGGAAGCTGCCCATCATCACGTGCCTGGAGCAAAACAAAAGAACAGGTCCATGTTTCGGAGGAAAACGTTTCGAGTACGTGACCCTTTGCTAGGTGGACCTGAATGACAGGCATAGCATCGATATTTTGTCATGTTTCTGTCCATTTCTTCACGCCAGTGCGGTACAGTAACTTCTTTGTAATCTTACATAGAAGCCAGAAGGTACAGGAAAGGCTAGACGCCTCATATCGAGGTGGTTGGAGTATTTAGAGAATGATTTAAGAGAGCTGAAAGTGAAGACATGGAGTCTTGATGTAAGAAATATATGAATAGGTAAAAATGAACGTATGTCGTGTAGGAAGCCAATGTTCTTAGAGGCCCATAAATTAAAGGAGTAAGTAATTTTATATGTAGCAATTTGGCAGTCAACTCTGTCCAGGCTATTATGGTTCTCCTCTAACGGATGTTGAGATAGTACGCACAACTAAGCCAAAAACGTTTATTTCTTTCTAAACCTGTTTATTACTCACAATCATCTTCTCACGTCCAGGATGTTAAGTTCTAACAGCGGTGTTTATGAAGAGTACTGTATTCTGGGTATAACGCCGTGTAGTCCGTTGAAAGTCACCATATGTTTCGGAGGGACACATCGCATCCATCTTCAGGGTGGAAGAATAACCTGAGCAAGAAAGGAGCTTGAAAGCAGAATCAGAGCAGA